AATTAACATTGTTTTGATCCATTCAGATGGCCATGTACGGAGGTCCTGTGGTGAACAACACGCCAGGCATGTACACCCCACAACAAATGCAACAGTTACAGTATCAACAGGTCATTTGATCTTTATTTATTTTAAATTATTTACGCCTCAGGATTGAGTAATACTTTCTGACTATAATTTAAAGCACTTGAGTACAAATATTGGACTGAGTGTATTGTTAGCTAAAGTATTTCTCTTGTTTTGGGGAGGGGGGTGATATTAGAATCCAGTCAAGGCTGGGAAGTTTGTTGATGACCCAAGCCTTGAAGTAGACTAGAGGAAAACCTCATTTATGTATTGAGCTTTTGTCTGAATTTAGATTGACTTAAAGTATTAGATAAATAACTATCATCATCATTCAGATCCAGTGGCCATTTTGGCATGTGCCCTGCAGCCATTGTGAAGAATTTACACACTTTCTGCCGCTGTTCTTTTTTTTTTTCTCTCTCTGCAGCTTTGTTGGCATATAGGGTGTGAGCGGTATTTGGTATTTGTCCATAAATAGCTTAAAAACTAACAGCCAGACAGCCTTGATTCCGATATAAATGGAAACGAAATGAAAGCTAAATTGAAATATAAAGTATATAACAGTAAATATAAATTTATAATCATCACAATATAGAATAAATAGGGGTATTACAAAAAAAATTTGTTTTTCTATTAAATATTAGCAATTAAACATCCAACTCATTTTCAATTTATAAACAAAAAGGTACACAAACATTTCTCCCACAAGTCGGGGAGGGGGGGGGGACACGCACCAATACATAGGGACTAAATTTAGCAAAGCTGATATGTCTGCACTCATTCTAAACTAAAGATAGGGTGTTAAACAAAATTTAATTAAGAACATTTTTTAATCATGAAATAAAAAAGCTCGATTTTTAAAAATAAAAATAATGCCTAAAACTGGTATGCTACTCACTATGGCTTTGCGTATATGACTATACCGGACTCTGTATCTATATCATCTGAACATTGTTAAAAACCTGTTGTGACTGAATTTTTGTTATGGGGATAAGTAGTTGCCTAGTTTTAAGTTGTTGCAAGTGTTTATTGTGCTATAGATATTAACAAGTTTGGAGATGAAGAACATCATTTCTATCTGACATGGCTGTGAGGAACAGTTTGGAATGCATTGCAAATAATGTTCAAGTACTGAAGGGGAAAGTGTTGGAGTTCAACCTGACCCCAATAAATATGTATTTATTTCTTAGCAAAAAAATATTTACTGGAACACCAGAGTCAATTTATAATTTATTATTTTAAACTCTTTTTTTTTTCCCCTCTTCCCTAGGTGCAGCAACAAATGTCAGCTCTACAACTCTCTCAACAGTCCACTGCAAACACAACAGGCTGGGGTAAGCCTAATCCAGGGCAAACGTTATCTACCAACCTCTGGCAGTGATACAACTAAATGATTTAGCAATGTTAGGACAAACTGATCCATTGGGTAGCTGACAAACTGATCCTCTTGCAGCAATAACAGGACACGCCGACGGTTTCATTTCAGTATTTGACAACCTGGTAGAATTCTAGTAATGATGGAATCAAATGATCTAGCTGGTAGCAGTGGTGTTTTTTTTTCCCCAAGGATCATTTTGTTTTTTAGCAGTTAACAAGTGCTTACTTAGCTTTGTTACTTCAACCTGTGCATACCATTGATTACCATGTCTTGAAAGATTCACAGGAAGTTATACTTTTATTTTAATAATTATTTTTAATAGTGCAATTTTTTAAATAGATGCTATTTTTTTTAATTAAATTAAATACTCATTACTTTGAGTGTTTAGGCTAGAGAATTTATTATCAAATAGGTGCAGGCGAAATTTACCCAATTTCTATTTTACTTGGTCATCAGAAATTAAATATTTCTAATTTGCAAGACTTTTCAGTAAAATTGCTCTTTTTATAATTTTTTAGTGGGAAATGTGATATAAATGCTATTCTCAGATGTCAACATTTTATCTATAAAAATTGTAATTATTTATTTCATAGTCCTAAGTTACTATTATAATGTTTTTGTTTTTTTTCTTAAGAGAATATTTTTTATTATTTTTTTGTCCCAAAATATACATTTAATTATTTTTAAATGCTTGAGCTTTGCAAAATAATGTCATTCCGTCATGGTATTAGTATTATAAAAATTAAATTTTCTGAACAGTCGATTTTTTGTTCTGATATTTATAAGTACTGTACTCAAAAGACAACACTTATAATAATTTTTTCAACATTATTAAATGAATTTAATCTCATTTTATGTCCTGGAAACCATACTACACTCCCAATTTTATTTATTACAATTAAATCTTTTTATAATCATACCTTGGGTGACCCAAACAGCATGTGAAAGTTACATCTTCATATTTTTTGAGTCATATGCAGATCTTAATCTTTTATCATTGTCCTTATCTGACTGAAGCTTTGTTGAAATAAACTAGGTTGACAGCAGTCACAAACTTCAGATGGATTAGGAATTTTATTTAAAAAATGTTGTTCATAAGAAATGTTTAATATATTGACAGCAACAAAAAGCCTTTGAATTATTAATGAATCATTACAATAACAACTATCAAAGTATTTGATTGATCAGCTTTTATTGTATTTTTAACTTTTTTCGTAGACTGTCCAGGCTATTGATAAAACTCAATTTAAAAGCCAAAAAGTTGTGTTGGTTGTATAAAGAAATACATCTTGTAAGTTTCTTTCCAAATTGGTAGTTAAATTACAGCTGTTTGGAATTAAGACAACCTTTTGGAATAAGATTTTAAGTTTGGTTAACTTTTGTTTGTTTGGCTGTGAAATCCACCATTCACTGTGCCCCTGCCACTACTCCAAGTATTTAGCACAAACTGAACTTCTTACTCCTGAACAATGCACAAGATCAAAATGTTCTTCACTAAGAAGCAAAATACTGCGTGTGTTGATATTGATAAAGTGAATGTCAGGGAATTTGACCTTTTTGACACAAATTAAGATATATTTTTTTAGAAGGGTCAGGTAGATGAAGAAATTAGCAGTCTTAAGTATCAGCAAAAAATGTGGGAAATCTCTCACATGCTTCGATTAATATAATAGTTTCCTGCACTCAAATGGAACTTTAAATTTAAAGACTATTTTAATATAATTTTATTTTTTAAGAGGCTCTTAAATTCAAGTTCAATTTAATTTCATTTACCTGTCCATAAGTCATTTGGATTTTCTCATATTTATATTATGATTATCTTGATCCCTTCATCTATTTTTTTAAAAATATTTGTGCACTTTAAAATTATGGGAGCATATAAATTATGCAGTAATTGATTAGTTCATTATTATTCAGTTGTTATTTTTATGGTCTTACCTACACTACTAGACTACTAGTTGCAGCGACTTGTTTTGTCTTTATGTTCGGTATATCATATTTTTTAAAAGTATGCTTTCTGCATGGAAAAAAATACTATGTATCTTATATGGCTGTGGATCATTTTGGATGTTTCATATCTAAACACATTTTCTTAATGTTATATATACATACATTTCAACCATTACAGTTTAGGCTTATTTTTTATGGATAACAACCGACATTAGTGAACACTTTTTTTGTTACCAGTACTGTAACTGTAATGTCACTTGAAATTCATTGTTTCCATTAAGACAAAGGTGTTTTTGAAAATCTTTTATATCTCTGCAGATTGCACCTATCCAGCTGACCTTGTCCAGTTTAGTTTAAGAATTAAATTAATGATTGCATCACTAGAGCTAGTATGTTAGTGACAATATTGATATACTGGTGGGTTTTTTGTAGCCTACCTTTGCTAATTTGTATTTTGAAAAGTGCTGACTAGCCTCATGTTCATGACATGTGAATAATATTGCTGTTCAGTTTTAATTATGTAAAATTAAATAAACCTTTTTAAAAAATTATTTATTTTCTTGGCAAATCTTAGCACCGCACATTTTCTTTTGTTAACCATTATTGCCACATTTCATGATTAAACTTTAAATTTACCATTACAAATGTTAGAGGGAATTTTTAAATATATTTTTAACATTATGGGAAACCTTAGTTTGAAAGCCTGCAAGGGAATCATTTGGCTGCAAAGAAAATTAAGACCAATTATTGTCACAATGGAATGCAAAGACTTGTATTAGTTAAAGAAAACATAATGAAGACTTATAGTTTGTTTTTCATATTACTTAGAATGTCGTATTTTACTTGTGCTGGACATCAACGTAGAAAGATACTGATATCTAAAATAAAAGAATTGTTATTTGATCATCTGACAATGAAATGTTAGCACCGTCTTTCAGATCAATTTATCATTTTTTTAGATTTTGTTAATGCATCACGATAAAGCATGCACCCTTAATAATCCATACTGCAATAATAAAAAATAATAATAATACACAGCTCTTTTAGGTTAAATTATTTTTAGGTATTATTATGTTTAGAAATCTTTGATTTATAGAGCTTACTGTTGGAATTTCCATCATGAAGATCAATTAGTCTAGCATACCAGTACTGCATATACATAAGACAGTTTGTCCTAAACACAGCTAATAAATTTGAAATGAAATTGTACATATCAACTAGATGTTGTCTTATCATGAGGAGTCACAGACTCATATTTATTAAGGGACCAATAAAATGTTTGGATCAGTAATGTTTGAGTTCCTTACATTGTTCCAACAATTTTAATTTTGATGATTTGAACACATCAATAATGATGATATCAATGCCAGCAAACCCAGTTAGTATCTGCCACCTTGCTCACTAAAGCATACGTTTATAATTATGTGCTTCTACTTTTCTCATATAGGTCTTCATGTTTTACGAGTCTTGTAATTAGTGGTGTAAATATTTTTAACAGAGGAGGCCAAAGTAGTCATTCAATTCCAGTGATCCCATGATCATTACCTAATATGTGGCCTAGTTGGTGTTCAGCGGACTTGCTTTATGTTGGACTTTACTGTAAAAATGATGTAATAAAATAGTAGAAAAAAGGTCAGTTTGAACTGTTTCTTCAATTTCTATTAGTAAATCTAGTAGTAAGTAGTTTGAAATAGTTTATATTGCTTTTTGTGAAGTTTTTTTTATTATGTTTATAACAGTGAACAGAGTCAAAAGGTTTTTTTCAGGGAGATCTGTATAGCTTGTAGCCTTGAATAAATTCATAAAATAAATCTTTACACACTTGACATATCTTAACAATTTATTAAATACAAGAACTTATTTTTAAAATGTTATAATTACAGCACATCTTAGAACGAATTAACAAATATTTCAAATATACAAGCATCAGTTCATCGGAAAAGTTCCATTATTTTGTAACATTCAATCCTGTATTTGTCACAATCATCTACTAGGGCACAGTGAGAATCTTCTAAGTTCAGCCTGTCAAATTAATGTCTCACTACTTTGCTGGCATGTCTCTTGCCCAATATGCAATTATTTTCCATTAAAGACTATGAACAATGGAACTTGAAATGTACATTTGGAACAACATGCTGGAAGTGAAAAGTTGTCTCAACGAAAGAAATCCATACATTTTGAATCACATTACACCAGCTGCACTACTTGAATCTGGATTCCATGTCTGAAGTCATTGACATATACCAAAATGTTTTTAAAATTAAGAATTAACTATCTGCGCCTCTTAGCTAAAGGCTCTGTTGGCGTTGCTGGGCTACTGTTAGTGGATGGTATATGTCTTGTTCGTTTAGTGCGCTTGGGTGATGGGTCTTGAGCATTTATTGGAAGAGTTTGTCCAGTAAGCTTGGAACTAACAGAAAGACCTGATTTACTTTCAGGCCGTATGGATGTATTACTTCGATTCTCTGATTTTGATACAGCTACTTTACTTTCTGATTTAGGTTCTTGCTTTACAGTCTTGGTAATTTTGCACTGACCTGAGGACAGACAATAGAAATAACAATATTTGAACATACTATGTAGTAAACCAGAGCTAAATAGTTCTATCTCCAATAGCACCAGAAAGTTGTCTGATCATTATTTAAATTCTTTACAATAATTATCACAAATCCGATTCAAACTAACAATTTTTGTAACACAGGTGTTAGTGTTAGGTATATAATTTATACAATGGCATTATGGTTTGTATTAAATCACATTATTAAAATATTTGTAATTTCAAATTATTGTGCTCTCACATTTTAAGTAGATCAAATAAATTTTCCACTCATTGACTTGAGGTTAAACATAATGATGAAGCTTATAGATAAAACTCTTAATGTTAGAATTGGAAATTTTATTGACAAAACTATTTGTTTATAAAGAGTCACCTGAAATAATTATCATAGCATTGAGCATGGATGAGAAACTTTTAATTGTAAGCTTTTGCAAATGTAGGCCAACCTACCGGTACTTAAAAAAAAAGAAAGAAGTATATTCCTCCTTCCAGTTTTATTCTAGCCGATTGAGCCGCTAAGATACAGGCATTAGCCTTTTAACATGTTATGTACCGATATGGTCCACTATAGCAATTTATTACAACCCTATCTGGCACCGTTTATCCTGCAGATGGGTGAGGAATTTTTCATAGGATTTTCTACTGAAAATAGTTGTCTTATAAGGGTGAGTAGATGAATTGATTCCACCTGATCATACTTTTTGTAATAAATCTCAGGGGTTGTGTTTTTATAACCTGGAAGGACCCTGAAATAACATGGTCTGAAATTTTTAAGTACTATTTTTGTTTTTATTCCAGGTATTTGGAACCAAAGCATTGAAAATTTCATACATACTCCAATGGTTAGTTTTTTAATCATTAGATCATTCTTTTTCTAAACAAATAGTTAATAAAATATCACCAACCTTCTGATTTTGGTGTTTCTGGTGTAGGTGTGTTGATGTAATGTGTTCTAGGGAAGCTCTTCTCACTTAGTTCTGTCATCTCATTTTCAGGAAATTCAAAATCTCCAGGTTTATTTGGAAATGGAACAATTTCCGATTCATTCTGAAACAAGCCGAAGACAATTAAAAAAAAAGCTTTAAAAATAAACTTCACAATGGAACAAAAAATTATTAAGTGACTAATCTTTATGCTATTTTTGACTGGAATGTTTAGTAGTATTTGGCCAGAAAAACTTCTTTTTTTTTTTTACAAACTACATCAGAGTATATCTAATGTATGGTACTAATTACTAACTGTTCAACTGATGTTTGGTGCAGAATGAATATATCAGACAAGAGCATTAGTTAATTTATTTTACAATTTGATTGCTCCCATTAAAATTAGCAGTTGTCAGTGGGTTGATTAATGACGTGAAGCCAATTAACAATACATACACATACAGTACAGGTTTACCATGTAAACAAAATATAACACTCCAAAAAATATTTGCCCTTGTTTCAATTACATTTAATGATGTTTCAATGATTCCATTGCTTGAATCAAGTACAACAAAAATTTTTATTTTTTTTTAACATTTTAATTTTTTTTGTTTTAGAATGACATCTAAACCTCTTTTAGAATCTGCCACTGATTACATTTATAGTTCTATTTTCAGGGGAGATTTTACCCAAGAAATTTGCAGAGGTATCTGAATTACTCTTCCAAATGTATAATAGTCAATTATGTTTTTTAGTGCTGTTTTAGTTCCATTACCACACCAGTGACGCGTCCAAATGATTGCGTTTCTAACTTCTAATTGGTTCAAACGTTCATACTTAGTAAGCTTATAAAAACTGAACAAAAGTCCTATTCCAAGAACAACTTAAACTTTTATCCAAGTTATCTATTATCTGGTTGTATAATATTTCAAACATATAGCGCAGATCGTTAGTGGAATATCATACAACCTTCTCACTCAATGCTCAGACAGCAACTGCCAAACGAATAGCGCTACAAAAATTACAAGTCAATATCCATACTCAACGACCAGCTAAGACTTGACTGAATGTTTTTCTTACAATATTTTTAAGTCTTTGCTAATGAAATAAGGTATAAGAAATTTTTGTAATGTATTATTTATAACTCGACTGAAATATTGAAATTTGTACACTGATGTTCCACTAAATGTTAAAACATTGAAGTGAAGAATGCAGCCAACTGTTCAAGAAATTACTATACTAAATTATGGACACAAAAGGCTTGGAAAAAATTTACAACAAATGAAACTCTAGCAGAGTTTTTTCTTTTGTTTTGAAAAAAAATCAAAAGCAATAGTCAAATGACTTATAAAATATTACAGTTGTTTTCAGCCGTTCATAAAATATTTGTTGTTTTATATTTGGTAAACGCATGTTTGTTTTATGCATCCAACTGCTTTAACAAATAAAATAACAGTTAAGAAATTTATTTTTGAAGATATAAAAAATTTCCAGTAGATCATCTAAAAATGTGAACTTTTGTAGGGTGCTTGACCAAAAAAAATATAAAGACAGTGTTACAATAGAAACACTTAACATACCAAAGCTTGCAAATCATATAAAGTGGAAAGGTGTTTCCATACATCTTCTGAGCTAATCTTCTTATTGGCTGAACAAAGACGATCGTGAATTGCTAACATCTGAAAGTGTCGATTCACTCCTGATGAATACAAAAAATGTTATTATTAGAAAAAAAAATGATTTCAGTAGCAGTTGGAAAATGGTGTTAATTTATAATATTTCATTTCCTACCCATAATCATATCATAAATCATATTTATCAGTACTTTCTCCCAGGGTTTCTTGTAATGGGTTTTTATTGCCCCATAAGCCTGAAGATGCCATTCTGTAACCAACCACTGTGCCCTATCTGGGGAACAGTTTTAGGTATTTTCCCAATAATTAAGGCACAAGTAAGAAACAGTGATAAACAGATTTGAGGGGGTTACTGTGGCGCATCCAACTGATAAAAAATATACACCTCATTGAAGAGAAGGGTCATCTACCCAGTTACCTCCAAATTGAGTTGGGGAGTTGTACTTTAATGCTGTTCCTAGACAAATGTGTATAAAATTTAGTGTAATATATTTATTTTGATTACTAGCGTATTTTGTTATTGCTATTAATTAATTTTGCACAATCAATCAAAATAGCTTTCTCTGCTGAAGTGGAGAGTGGCCATTAGTATGTCAGCAAAGTCTAACTTAAACAACAAGAAAATTAAAAAAAAATCCTGTGTGGTCAGTGTCCACTCAAAGATGCAGTAAATGCTGCATAAACATTTTATACTAAATTCTGTCCGACTCTCCCCCCCCCCCTTTCCCCAACCCTCTCCTTTTCCAATTTAAATTTTTCAAAATGCTTTCACTCTTCCTCCTGTTCACAAGAAGACAGACAAGTTCCTAGGTTTTCTCGTGGTCAGATACCCAAAGGTGTCTCAACTTCCTGTGATAAAATGAAATTAATGGCCTTAATTTTCACCTTTTCATCTCAAATGAGATAAAATGAGTGCCTTGAGACACCTTCAACAGGGGGTCTATCCCCACCCAAGTGGTGGATGCCAACCAAACCCTAGACCTTGGACATATTAAGAGGTAGTCATGGCCAGTGGTCAAAACACATGTTCCATAGAGGGTTGGAGTTCAATTCCCCACCTAAGCCTGACATTTAGATATAAATTTTTTCTACTAGCCCCCCCCCCCCCCCTCCCCAATCTATCTATCTATATATTATATTATATATATATAGTAAAAATTTAATAGTTGTGTTGTTTTCTTTTAATTCCCATATTAATTAATTAATAATTAATTCAAAATGCAGGGGTGAAAAAATAAGACAAATTTATGATAAATTTTCCATTTACCATTATAAATGTTAGTACATACAAAGATACAGTGCAAATATTTTCTAATAGTATTAGCAGCAGATTGTTTCCAGTGGAAATAGTTTTTTTAGGACATTTTTTGTGTGGTGGTAATAATGGAAGATGTGCTCTGGTCCTGGTGTTTCATTTTAATTTTTTTTAAATGTGATCTTAATTATTTGTGATGCACATATGGAAATAGTTCAGAAAAAACAACATTATTTTTACACTTTGGATTATAAATTTCTCTTTGTGTGACTTGGAATTAGCGTTTTGTGAACAGTTGGTGAGTTTTTTATTTAAAATTTTTGTTTTCCTTAAATCATAATCACATTTATATATTAAAATTTAAACCCAAGTCTGTATTGTCTGTAAAGAGCATGCATTCCCCTTTAATTACATACCAAACTTAACATTTACTGATGAAAAACAAAAAAGTTATGATGGTTTAGAGATAACATAGTAGTGCGTAACTAACACACATATTCTGGTGAGGGTCTGAGATTACTCTCTTATGACCCCGGCTAGTAAATTGGCTATTAACTCCATCTGTTGAGCTGAGCCATACAACATTTTCCTCACAAAGGGTCCTCCAACCGCCCTGGCTTCCCCCGGGAGATCTAGTGAGGGGCATTCGGTCAACAGGTGCTCTAGGGTCTCCGGGGCCAGGCTGCAATGCCGGCAGGTAGGATCCCTGTTGTTATCCAACCGCCAGAAATATGTGCGCAAGAGGCAGTGCTCGGTGCACATCTGCGTCACTAAACTCTGCTGTCTGGGTCCTAACCCCCCACCATGGGTCTTGTTTGCTAGGAGTGGCCAAGTTTGAATAGACGCCTCTGCCTGAAGTGGTCCGCCAGCCAGTTTTTAATTCCCAAAAAAGTCATTGGTACTTCTGGCTGAGGCTGGGCAGCCCCGGTTTTTGCCAGAGTGTCCGCTCTCTCATTGCCACTGATGTTGACGTGGCCAGGTATCCACTGTATTGTTACCTTGTAGTGCCTAACAAACAGGCAAAATAGTAAAATAGATAATTACATCAGAACTCCCACATTCACATTAATTCCAGAGAGAATGAGAAAGAGTTCATTCATTCAATTTGAACATTTTATCCAAGAACTTACTTATGGACTGTGTTGAAAATCTACTTTAATTTATTTAATTATGCTTAGAAGTAACTGAGGAGCGGGAAAAAAAAGAACGCTTCTCCCTCTTCCTAATAATATTAATAGCACCAACACCGTCTGCCGTCTTCGTCAGCAGACGAGTGTCAGATTGCAGAAGAGTCAAATTAAGTTTAAGTGCTTAATTGTCACATTTACATGTTGTGACTTTGGGCACTGAGACTGGACAATTACCGCAATTTCCAATAACTTCAAAAAGATAATTTACCAGCAGGTTTATGGCCCCTCATGGCATGAAAAAGGTTTACTTCCATGTCTATGTTCCAGATAACTTCATTTGTGATCGCATCTCCTGCCATTTTCTTTCTCACCGGAAGTTGTGACCTACATTATATTTATTAGTCGTAACAAGATGTTAGAATGATAGAATGTACTAGTAGTAATAGTAATTAGTGTATGTACATGCTTTGATTCACATTTTCATTTACAAGTCCATTAACTTTCCCTTTGACCTTTTGAGAATGAATTTAAACAATCCCTTTATCGTCGAAAACTATTTAATACGCAAACTGACGGATGCTCGTGCTTGTTTATTATAATACAGCGACACAATCCGTGACTGAGTCAGCGATCTGCCACGAGTTGTGAAGTTACGAAGCCTGTCGAAGATTCGTATTTTGAGCTTTAAGGGTATCTTCAACATACACATGCGTGGTCTACTCTGCTGTTGTAGGCTTGCAGTGCGAGTTGGTTGACCGGCATTCTAACCCTGTGGCCAAACCATTTAATTTATTGTTATTGATGATTGTTAGTGCACCAAGCCCTTTGCTGATTCCAAAAGTGGCCAATTCTCGATGAAAACGAGCTTTGACACGATCTGTTAATTTTAAAGCTATGTTGAATGTACTGTCAAAGGTGCTATGTAAGCTTACCAGATTTTCTGAATGTCAAGTACGGACACAAAGGCTCACAGCAACCGGAACCATACCGACGGGGGGGGGGGGGATATAAAAAAAATATATCATAGTCGATTAATAAAGCTGTGATGTAGCGAAGTTGAAGTGAGGAGAAAATGATCATCGGGAGAACAAGGGAGATGTTGTCAGTTGGATGAGTTTTTTANGGGGGGGGGGGGGGGTGGGGTCGTATTTTTACTAATCCGCCCCGGGGGCACTTTTTTATATATTAAGTGGCACCATTTTCCGACTTCGCCCCAGGTGCAGCATTTCCTCCGCAGCAAAAAAAAAAGTATAAAGGAATAAAATAAAAATAGCACTTAACTGAAAAGTAGTAACCCAGGGAGCAGCAAACAAATGGTGAAAACCTAAATTTGGCGCTGGAAATCGAAACATTATAGTTTAGCACTATGGTGATACGGTGGACGAAATATTACTGTAAAACTGCTACTACATTTTTAAAAAGAAATGTCAACATTGTGAAGATAATTCCTACACAACATTGTGTGATATTTTACAGCACTGGAAATATGCTATTTTTGAACTGTCAGATGGGGCTGAAACTATTCACTGCGCTTGCCTTTTCGGAGAAATAAGATAAGACAAATATAAATGAGACAAGCAAATCGTCACTGCCAAAAGTACGGACAAGCCGTATGACGAGAGGAAAGTATGGACAAATACGGACGCAAAAATTAGTACGGACAAGGGGTTCGAAAATACAAACTGTCCGTTCTAAATACGGACGTCTGGTAACCCTATGCTATGCTATAAACATACCTAGTCTGCAGCTTTTCCTTGTCGTTTAAGATGCATTTGTCATCTATATAAAGCCATTCATTTAATGCCTTGGGATTCCTATTGGCATCTTATGTGATTGCTTCCATGTCAGGGCCGTCTCAACAACAATGGAGGACCAAAGCAATGCCCTGCACCCCCCCCCCCTGATTGTACCCACCCACGTGTACAAATTAAAATAAACTTAATTAATTTAATTAAACAACAGTATAAAAATCAATCAATATTTTTTACAAAGAATTAAACATACAAGCTATAAATAAATTGGTACATGTGTAGGCTACAATAAACAGGGTTAGAATTGGAAAGGCTAGATCAGCGTTTGTGCTATTACAGATAATATTTGAGTCAAAGGAGTTGACTCTGCAAACCAAAGTCAGAATTTTAAACCCAAATGTCAAAACAGTCCTACTCTGGAACCGAAACTTGGTGAGCAGCGAGCATTACGCAGAAAGTACAGACCCAGGGTAATCATTTGGCACAAGGTTATATTCAACCCAATTCTGTAAAATTGATCAGCGTGAGGGAAGGGTGCCGAAATTTGAGGATGCTGAAGACAGTCGCGCTAATTCAAAATGCCGGGGTGCATTTTGGGACATACTTGAATTCAAGCTTTCTTTCAGACAATTCTGAGGTGACGTTTCCAACTTTCGTGTGGGAAGCGCCAAAATTAGTCATAATAATAATAGTCATCAAAGCCATCTTAAAAGCCACACAGAAGGACATGAACTAATAAATGCATTCCAGTTGTGGTGCCCTTGAGGGTATGCATTTACCCTAGCTTAATATCCCCTAGTCTACGCCTCTGACCCCTGCCCACTGCCCCCCCCCAAATCTTAAATGTCGCCCCCCCCCCAAAAATCTTAAAAGTTCCCACTCCCCCCCCCCAAACCTTAAATGCCGCCCCCCCCCCAAAAATCTTAAAAGTCGCCCCCCCCCCCTCGAAAAAATGTTTGAAAGAATCACAGCACGTCAGTTTACGTGCTGTTCTCCACATTGGTTGTCAAGTCTTCTACAAATTCAAGGAGCTGGGTCTCACATTATCTATTGACTCGGAAGCCATGCCGACAGTCATTGATTATAATGGGTATTAATTTTCATTACCGGTAAAGGATTACTTAATCATCGTTGCTGTTCAATTCAATCACTCAGCATGATTATTGCTCGTTATAAATTTATTATTACGTGTATTGCTTTTCATATTTTGAATAAAATTTTAACTCCAGAGTTATTCATCGTGTTTATTTAATAACTAACATACCGGTACTTTGAATAACCTGAAAAATACACCGTTAAGCCCTATGTAAATGAATGGTTGTAGTACTTTGAATCGCCTGTACTGTTTTTATATTTGCAGATGTCCTTTTTCTTTGGATTTTTCTTTCGTTTGTTCTATTTCTGTTTACGATACTATATATTATTATCTGAAAGAGCTACTGACGCCTTATGTACCCACTAGAGAGCTCCGCTCATCCGATAGTGGCAAACTCTCGGCACCACGTGTTTGCCTTGAGACTTACGGAAAGCGCACTTTCGCATTTGCTGGTCCAACAATTTGGAACGCCCTTCCTGTCGATCTCAGAAACAACCAGACACTGAGTCCTTTAAAACCGATTTAAAGACACATCTATTTCGCAAACACCTTCTGGGATGATTGTCTACCTTATTTTCCAGTTAATGCATAATGGCTGTGTTGCTTGGGGTTGAAATGGCTAGAAAGACTTTGCAATTGTATGCTTGTAATTAGTTTTTGTAGTGTTGCGTTTGTTTTAAATGTGGTAAATTATAGATTTGTATTTTGTTGACTTTGTACCGTGCTTCGAGCCTTTGGGGATGAAGCGTGTTTTTGAAATGAACTTTATTATTATTATTATTATTATTTTTATGTAATCCGGGTATTTTCAGGGTATTTAATCCTCAGCATAAAGTAAACTGGGGGAAAACTTACATGTTTGAATATCTTTTTAAAAAAAATCTAGATTGTCTTGAGCAGAGATGTTTTTTCGGTAAGCCCTACTCACATCTTATTATTATTTTAGGGGTCATCCATCAGGTCCATGAAAGCAATATAAAGTGGCATATGCTGTTCACGACATTTCTCCTGCATTTGGCGTAACGAGAATATCATGTATATTGTTGAGCGCCCACTCCGGAAACCACTAAGTGTCTATCAGGCATGTGTGCTTAGTACACTCCTATGTGGTAGCGAAGTGTGGACCACATATACCAGTACCAGTCAGGAGCGGAAACTCAACAGCTTCCACCAAAGATGTCTGCGTCGCATTTTAGCATTCGATGGCAGGACAAGCTGCCTAACACGGAGGTCTTGGAGCGTGCACACATGTTTAGCATATTGTTATGCACTGACTTCTATTGTGAGTTATTAATCTCTTGTTTTATGTTATGGCTCGTTCAAACAGTGCCTAACAAAGGACGATACCACAGAGAAATACAATAACAAAAATATGACACCAAAAACAGTACCAATTACAATTGATTTAATAAAATTTAATTTATTAATAATACAATTATAAAACAAAAAGAAATATAATTACAAATGATCAACTTACAGAGTATGGTAGATCGGGTACCGGTACACAGTTAATACAATGTGCCAATTAATAATGTACAATGACGAAATGCGAATAAACACACATCTAAGAACACAAAGAATAATACATGTCACGTAAAGTTACAAATATCTATCTGAATCTGCGTCCCTCTCTGTGCCTGTCAATCCCTTATATATGTGGTTCTGCCGACGCGTCTAGAAAAGTGCTTACTTTTCTAATTCAATTGAGAACCTTCGAAAGATACCAGTAGACATACTAACAGCAAGAGGCGCCTTCGCTGGTTAGGCTACGTAAGAAGAATGGAGGAAGGCCGTATCCCAAAGATGTTGCTGTATGGAGAGTTGGCAGATGGGACGAGACTTATTGGACGGCCACGCCTGAGATTTATGGACGTTTGCAAAAGGAACTTGAGGGAAGCCAATATTGAAAACAGAGAACGGGAGCTTATTGCCGAAGAACGTACCAGCTGGCGAACAGCAGTGTATGAAGGAGTAAAAAAAGGCAGAAGATACGCGAAACGAGGCCCTTGCAACAAAAAGAACAATACGGAAGTCAAGATCTTACCAGGAATCAATATTTTCCTGCGAGAAATGCAGTCGAGATTGTCATTCTAGGATTGCCATACGTATAAATAGGTCAACATAGAAGCCTGTAAAACTAAAGCTCCGTGCCAGATTAACATTTTAAGAAATGGAAAATATATAATTTAAGAGATTACACAAAAAATGCCAAACCAATTGGCAAAGTAAAGCTTCTTTTGGAAAAATATGAGGCAAGATTTAACACATAATAATAGTTTGACAAGGTGACAGAATCCACGTGATCGCGGGGGAAAACACTAGTGTGTTACAGGGCTACCATACCTTGGGAAATTTCACAAGATCTTTGGAATTCACTAACCCCATTTAGGGCTAAAACTCACTTTTTAAAAAAAATCCCAAGATCCTTTATTAAAAAAAAAAAACAGCTCATATATTTTCACAATCTTGGGATATATTGGGAAATATTTTGACCAAATCTTGGGAATTAAAAAAATTGAGTGGCAGCCTGGGTGTATCAAGTGTCATAAAATAAAAAAAAAAAAGCCTGCCCGTTTTTATCGCTCTTTTCCACGCATCCTATCTTCTCACTGAAGCCGACACAACAGTAGGCCTACTCACTGACTTTAAATTGAAAAAGTTAAATTTAAAGTATGGAAGGGAGACATTTTTGCATTCTATATCATATAAACCATGCTAAATATAATTACGTGAAGAAACTCTATTTTTTTAAATTTTTAAACAGCCTTAAAGGAAAAAAAATGGTTGGCTATTAATGGTAGGCTAATACTAGATAATCGAATCATATTAAATGGACGGACTATTGATTAAAAAATATTTGTAACACATCTAGATTCTAATAAAAATAACATTATTTATTCAATCTGGTACCGGTCCCTGGTCAATGGGAAACTTGTCCACAGGCAGCCAAAATTAAAAGTTTGTGAAACGCAGTTTTAGATAAATTGTAATTACCGGTACCGGTAGTTATTAACTTTTTAACAGTCTTTTATTTCTAAAGAAAGTGTGACGTACTTTAAAGGGATGGGGTCCCTGGGATTTGTGAAGGGCGAGTGAGGAGATAAAACAAAAAAAAAAGGGTTATGTTCTTTATAGAAGCCCATTAGTCTAAGCCTTCTGTCAATTCTTTTAATTCTTTGTACGCTGCATGTGTAACAGAGTCTACGGCTTAACCAGGGGGTCCGTGAAATGGTTCAGGGGGTCCGTGAAATAGTTCAGGGGGGCCGTCACCTGCGTTTTCCTTGTTATTTTATTATTTGCAATCAAAAACTTCCAAGAAGAGGTCCGTGGTCTTCTTCTGACTGACAAAGGGGTATACACTTAAACAGGTTAAGAACCCCGGGGCTAAGTGATAAATCGCCAAAAAGTAGGCCAAGTATTAGAGATTAATGCGCTTGCAAGTTCTGCAGCCTAATCATTTCTAGTTTTTACAACTTAGTAAAATTTAAGCGACCTTTAAAATTCAGCATTTAAACGGCATGTGGACTGTGATTTTAAAGACAGATTTAGCGCCTCCTCCCTTTCTTTTCCAAACATATTTTTACACCGTAACACGTCCCTACTTTGCATACCTAAATCTATCAATGGGTATCATGAAGGAATAAATCGGATGGTCATGGAATAACAAATGAAAAATAAATTCAGCACCCTCTTTGTGGGCCAATATCTCTACGTTATGTAGCATCATCACTTTTAATTTTCACGTTGGCTAATCTATATTCTTCTTTTTTACTTTTTTTCTATGTTTGCTACAGTTCTATTTTAATGGTGGCAATGTTTTTGCCACTAGAGTGGGGTGGCAAGTTCGCGCGCGCATTAAGCTGAGAAGCTAATGTTTTATTCCATGTCCCAGATGTTTTAGTTTCGCATAAATACTTAATTTTAAAGAAAAACCAATATCATTCTAAATAATTCACAGAAGTCAAACATTAAGTGAAACTATTGTTATGAATAATATTCAAGCCGACTATTTCTTAAATTCTATTTACTAATAATGATTTTCATGCGAAAATAAATAGTGGCAGCAACGCGTCATTAACATGCGGCCGTCATAGCAAAACGGCCAGATTGTAATATATTTAAAAATATTTTTTGGGGTGTTAAATCAAAGATACATTGAGAATATCGACGTAAAGAATATACAATTTATACTGCATAATTTTAGAAAAATAAATTATATTTCACCAGTTTACAAATATATTAATTGTTATACTTCATTTTAAATATTTAAAGAATATGATTGAACAGAGGGTTTTGAAAATATGACTTATTATATCAAGCTGAGTGAATTTCTATGATAATAAATATATATACGCTAAAAAAAACCAAGTTAACTAGTTAAATAGCTGGCTTTGTAAAAAAAATACTACGACAACATTCAGAATATAACCAACCAGTTACCATTTATCTTATACTTAAATAGCTTATTTGATATTATTTTTTTCAAATATAAATAAAAGAATGTCATTCCAATTTATAAATTTGTAAATTTTACCGAATTAAATGGATTTAAAAATAAATCCATTTTAATTTTAAGCTGGCTATTTTTATTTTCCATTTGGCCACAAACAGGTCGTGTATCTGTCCTTCTTGTCAACTAACTAGTGGCGCACATGTAGGGTAGTTGAAGTAACCATTTCTTAATCATTCAGAAATAGTTGCGCCTCGCACGTTTAACAAATAAAAATGTCTTTTAGTGGTGGATTTGGTGGAAACCGAAGTGGAGGTGGAAGTTCTACAACGATGATGGTTGAATCTTCAAACGTTGGGAAAATCATTGGTAAGTATTTGTCTTGTACTACAGTAACCGTACCGTTTTTTTACTCCCCGGTCATGGCGGCAGGAGACTCCATTTTAGATCGGTCTATCTGTGACCGCATGGAGCAAGTCTAAACTCATTTATGGATTATTTTGACCAATTTTAATACAAATTCTTTTGACTATGATACCTTACACTTCTTTTGTTAATGTTTAATTGTATTTTGTGTTTTAAATAACTACATTTTTATTAAATTTTAGTTTTTTTGATACAAATTGAAGTTGAAGCCTAGCCGTAGCCATTGGCGGCATGTCACGCTGATCCGGGATAGTCATTGTAATGTTTGATTAATACAATTAACCCCTCCCTAAATGTCAATTCATTTAAATATTGGAACCAAATATTGTATTCAGGGTCTTTATTTTGTGTTTAGTTCAAAAATTTTACAAAATAATTGTAAATTAATAAATCATAATGGATGGACTTCACATTTTACTAAAAGCCTACTGAACTAAATTCTGCTGTTCACTTGGATTGCTAATCTTTCATGTTATATATTCTGCAATTGTTTAAACATCTTTTTATGTTTACTTGACACTTATTAGTAATAGCCTAAATAGGAATATGTATTAGGCCTGATGAAAATGAATAGTATAGCATCTTAAAAGTGAAAGCAGTGTCACCAGCACCAGTGTTCCTGTTGCTTTTATATAATCTTGCAAAGGGACAACTTGGTGTTTAAAAAAATTGATGTACTCTGAACATCATTTTGAAGCTTCCACTAGAGAATTATTTAACCATATCACCTCTGTCAAATCTCAACTAGGAAGTAATTTCTACACATAAATTCATGTCTTTTAAGATCCCTTTGGCTTATGTTGATCTAGATTGTTCTAACTTTTACTACGATCTACTATTCTTATAAAATAGTATTAGGCCTTTTAATTTTTAAATTATAGAATGAAAGAAAAATTGTTGGATAATGGGTAAAGCAAGACATGCCTAACCATAAGCGCAATGGGTACAGTGATGTAGATCTTTCCTCAGTCATAAATTTTTTGGTGACTAAAACAATTTTATCTCAAATGTCAAGGACATGCTGTCACTTTCTTCCCTCATCCCTCAAATATAATCAAACCTCAGTTGTCCACTTAATACTAGTTACACACAGGGGTGATACAAGAATAACTATTTTATTTTAAACTGTTTGTCATATGGGCGTAATCAAGAAGTGTTAATTGTACAACTAATTGAACCCTAAGTAACCATAATAGTGAAAATGGCTCAGCTCGCCCCACCCAATCACTTCCTGAAGATAAAGGCTTAGACTTTCTTTAAAAAAGGTATTGCAAAATGTAAATCTTAAACCATCACATTGCATCAGGTAATACTGTATGAAAATATTAGGCCTAGATGTGCCTAAAAGTAAATGTTCTTGTGATCAATTCTTGGCTCTCCCCCAAAAACCTCAGGCTGGTTTTAAAAAAAAATAATTGAAAGGTTTATTGCTAGGCTTAGTTTTGCTATCATAAAAGTGGCTGGACATTTGAAAAAAGTAGGTTGCTCCAGTAATGGACTTTGTAGTCAATAAGTTTGGCACATAAAATGTTTAATACTAATACTGCTTAAAATCCATATAATTTTTAAGTTGTACCGGTATTGTGTGGTTTCAGATGCCCGGCCTAAGACAGACTTAAGTCTTAAAATGCATCAAATAATGAACATGGAGGCCCTCAATTTGCAATGAATTTTTTTCTTCTTAATTTATTATAAGCCCATTAAGTCAAAATTAAAAAAAAAATAGTGAAACCTAAGCTCGAGCTCAAGAGAACAGCAGTTTTTGGATTTTAGCATATCAGAATAAAGGCTTGTTTTTTGTTGGTTGCAGGTCAAAGACCTTAACGGGAATTTCATTTTAAGGCCATTATTGTGCCATAAAATGGGTTCATCCCGCACATTGTTAATTTGAAATTTGAATATAACCAGGTCGTGGTGGAAGCAAGATCAGGGATCTGGAACAAGACAGTAATGCCAGAATAAAGGTAAGGTGTTATTTGTAGAGTTTATGCATAAATTTTAATTATGAAACTTATGGGTTTTTTTTTAAAAAAGGGTTGCGGGGATCTGTATTAATAAATATATATGTGGTTTTAAAGTAGGCTAATAAATATTATAATTTTAGGAGTCGACTTATAATTTTGAGGTAATATTCATAGTTACCTTTGAATTTTCATCAGATTTCCAGAGATGAAGATGAAGATGGCATGAAATCAGTTGAGATTAGTGGTACAGATGAAGAGATTGAAAATGCCAAAAGATTGATAGAAGAATGTTTAAGTGGAGGTAATTGTGTTGTCGTTATTTAAAATTTTCTGCTTTTGTGTTGTAAGAATCAAGTTTGGTTGGTATAAATTTTCTTGAAGGTTAATAAACACATTAAGCACTTTACATATTCACAACCCGATACAACCTTTTAATCCAACCCGCCACATGTTGACTTATGTAAAACAAGACCAATTCTATAATGATCTCTTAGCTGTGTACACAGTCTAACCTGTTTGCATCCTTCCTTATAATTTTATAGATAATTCTTCGATTAATTAGTGTAGCTGTGTTAAATATCTGTATTGACAGTTATTCAGTTTACTGTCTTATAACCTTAAAATTTTCACTGCACCAAGGGAAGAAGTGATAGGTCAATTTTTTATCTATGTGTAATAGAAAGCCATTTAAAGATTTAAGAAAACCGTCTCGATTTTATTCCTTATACATTTTTTCAGTAGCAAAGCTAGCAGTTTGTTACTAGATTAAAAAAAAAAAGACTCAGCTAGTGATAGTTTGGTTGTATTGTTAAAGTTATCAATAGATTTTCTTACTTACATCTCATTGCAGGCGACTTCGGTGGTGGTGGCGGCGGTAGACGTGGAGGATATAAAGCTAGTAGTTTGTTACTAGATTAAAAAAAAAAAAGACTCAGCTAGTGATAGTTTGGTTGTATTGTTAAAGTTATCAATAGATTTTCTTACTTACATCTCATTGCAGGCGACTTCGGTGGTGGTGGCGGCGGTAGACGTGGAGGATACGGCGGTGGTCGTGGACGCGGCGGCAGCGGTGGTGGTGGTGGCGGCGGATATGGCAGAAGGGATGAAGGCTGGGGTCGCAGAGATAGAGATGGTGGTGATGGATGGGGTAGGCGTGATGATTATGATAGAGGTATCTTAATCTATCCTTATTGGGGTTTTTGCTAGATAATTGCACTCTGCTTTCGTAGCGTGAATCAGGTTTCATGATTCAGTTCTTTGAAAATTTATTAAGTTGCGTTAATTGCGTCTCCGCTGTTGCATCACTGAAGACACTTCGCATGTAAATGAATTTTAATATTTGTATATAATTTACAAACTTTTCTGGCGCATATTTGATTTCTGCCTTATTTTGGTCAACATTTGTTTTCTTGTTAGCCTGTAAAGTAGCTTCAGATTTATGAGGGGAGATTAAATGGTTATAGTACTGTAGCATCGATCATCTGCAAATCGCTAGTTGCATAAAACTCTTCCTTATGTTTTATTGACTTTAAATGTTTCTTTCCATCACTAAGCCGTATGTATTTCTTATTTGATCTAGGAGGCAGCCGTGGTGGTGGTGGTCGAGGTGGCGGTGGATTTGGTGGTGATGGAGGTGGCGAGTCCGAGACCATTTTTGTGGAATCATCTGAAGTAGGAAGAATCATTGGTATGTACTTCAATACAGAGCTTCATATACATTATACAGTTGAAATAAGCTTAAGTAGCTGGTATAGTCATTGCGCATGTCATTGATTTTTGGTGTATAGGAGTTTGTGCTTTGTTGGGTAATACCGGTTCCAACGCTGAATTGTAATTTATTTTGATAAATATCTTTCCTCCAATTAATAGGTCGTGGGGGAAGCAGAATCAGAGACATGGAAGCAGACAGTGGTTGCCGGATAAAGGTATGTTTTATGAAAACTTAAATCCTTTGTTTGCTAATCAGCAGGCGGTTATGTAGGGTAACCTGTTCCAGGATTAAAGATAGATTTCTGGCTTGTCCAATATCTGCCAGTTAAAATTTAATCCTAGTCTTAGCTACATTTATATTTGTGGTCAATAGTTTACATTTATAAAGCTGTCATGACATTAAATGTTAAAGCCTCTTAAGCTTATTGAGCTTTTTCGGGGAATTTCTTTTTCCTGACAAATCATTGGTGCTGTAAGTAGTAAATTTCATTGTAAGGTTATTTATTTTAAACAGGTTTCTCGTGATGGTGACTCATCTGGCCGAAGTTCTGTTGAATTAACTGGAAGCAAAAATGCCATCTCAGAAGCAAAGCGACTTATTCAAGATGCTGGAGTTGAGATTGTCAATGGAAATGATCGTGGCCGTGGTTGGTGAATTATTGAACCTTTGATAGGCTGAAGAAGCATTGAAGGCCCATCGTTTTGAATTCATCCCAGTCGTAATGTCATTGTTTTTCTCATATTTTTTTTTCCTCAAAAGTATATTTTGTAATCAATGTCATGCATCATTTCATCTCAGATCAGCTTGAAGTATTTTTTATTCGTAATGGAACCTTTGAGATCACCGCATGGTGTAAATTACGCGGTGTATATATGGTCAAATTGATTCGAAATAGCCACGAAGTAAATATAATATAGTATCGACAAGCATACCTGATGATGGTATGCACAGAGCATCTCGCCAGATTTTAAAATATTGATCCGACTTGTTTTTAAAATCGTGTTCATTGTGCATTTTATGCTTACAATTTCCAGCTTTGAATAAACACAACCAGTTATTTAACATTTATTTTGTTCTTTATTATTTTTTTAAACATGAGCTATAAACCAGGAGTATGACACCTGAATAAATGGTAATTTCTTTTTGGTAAGTTTTTTGGTATCCAAAACATGAAATTTTAAGGTTTCTTTCAGATAAAGCTGTCAAATACTGCAATTGAATTTTAACTCCATACCAAATCCTGGTTTGCAGCTAAGTGACTGTATCTGCTCTAATAGGGATTTTTTTTTTCTTTTTTGAAGGTGGTTATGGGCAAGATAATTCAGGGAGGTTTTCAAATGGTAAAGGTAATTTTGTGTATTGTGGTCAATTGATATAATTCTTAGTATTTGGATACCAAAAGACATGAATGAATGGTTGCTAGTTTTTGTTCATATATCATTCAATTATTGTGAAAAGGTAAACTGCCACTGTTTAAATGACAGTAAATTACACAAATTAAATATTATTTTTAGCTTCCAGACACCTATTTTAAAAAATGACAACCAAGAGTGATCAGCTCCATGAATTTATTACCAGGGTCCTTTCATGGTACTGGTACCATATTTTTTATATACACAATTTGTGCTATATTTTGCAATTAGTTGTCCACGATTTCTGACTTGGATTATGTTCATCCATTCCCACCTTTTTATGAAGTGTTCAAAGCACCTCATTTAGATTACTATACCAGACCAGTTTACCCTCGAACTCATATGATCGTACACTATCATCGCAAAATCGTACAATGCATTATCTAAAAAGTAAAAATTAAACATACGGTATATATGTACACCTCAAAATTGTACGCCAAAATCGTGAGAGTAAACAGGTCTGCTATACTGTACATCATAGGACCAACTGTATATATTAATGTAATAAATAAATTTACAGACATTTGCACACACATTACACCCCACCCCCCTCTGAGCCAAATTGAGGAGTCCCTAAACCATAATAAATTATATAATACCATTACTGCTTTTATGTATTGACAGTACAGCTAGGTCTTCCTCAGCAGTTACAAAAATAGATTGATAGTGGATAGCACTTTTTTTGTTCTAAATAAATTCAGAATGGAAAATATTCCGTTACTTTTATTTAATGATATTGATTTGATAATCTTATTTTAGTAATTATTTTTGCAAAAATACAGTACAAATTGCATGTTCGAATTGATTATGAATTGATGGTGCACAAGGCATCTAATGTTGCATTAAGAAAGGGCGTCAGCAGGGTGTGTCTAGACCCTTATGCCCCCCCCCCCCCAAATTACCCCTCCCAGGTCCGTATCGGGCCGCGGAGCGGCACGTTGGAGATGCCCACTCGTCAGGACGGGCCCCTCACCCAAGTCCCCCGCTTGGGGGCTCGACCAGGACCCCGCCTGGGGGCCGCCCCAACCAGGAGGCACCCAGTCGATCCGACACTATGCGTTTAAATAGTGCTCTCGATTGACTTTCTCAGGAGTTGGGATGGAAAAATTTACGTCCTAATATCTTCCACTTCCCCCACCCATCCCGGGAAAGCGTCGGACGCCCAGTAAGAGGGATTCCACAGTGGGCTTCCACAACGCAACTAGCTCGCGTTGTTGCTGGGACGAAACGGTTGCCTAGGGGCAGCGTTCTCACGGCTGCATTATTTGAATCCTCGGCCAGAGGTTACCACCCTCGCCTCTGGCCTCATACCCGTCAACGGCAACTTGTAATCATAATCCCTACCCTGGCTCTGCCTAACTTTCCGACTGCGGAATATCACAACCGGCAGCCCTGTGGGAGCTGTTTTATGTACGGCAGGTACCGAGCACCACCTTTGTCTGCCCACGCGGGGGGGGGTGCCCAGTAGTTATGTTTCCAGGCAAACGCTGAGGGGGTCGGTGGCCGACTCTTCCTAATCGGCACAAGGCATCTAAATGATTTGATTTTTTGATACAGCATCTGTGTGGTTTCTTCACTTTTTCAGCAACAGCAGTGCTGGTAGTAATAGTAGTAGTAACTACTAAATACCTGTAGTGCATCTGATTAGGAGGGATGAACTGCTTGGAAATTGTTTTTTGGTGGGCCATACTCATACTATTAAAAAAACTAATTTACTACAGGTGGTTAAAATAAATTTATTGTACCTGACTCAATGAGGTTAAGTAAGTATAGTCTGAAAATTCAATAAATTTCATCCACATTCTTAAAATCATGAGTTGTTGATATAACTATAACACCAACCTTAATAGTAACATTAACATCAGCTGCACGGCCATATTCTTGAGCAAGTTTCCTCCGTAAAGTACCTGGGTGTTACCATTCAAAGAGAGGTCCGATGGGATGAACATATTAACAATGTATGTAACCAAGCAAACAAGACCCTAGGGTTCTTAAGGCGAAATCTAAAGATTGGCAACTCCTGTGTGAAAGAAAGAGCATATAAAGCCTTTATCCGTCCGATTTTAGATTATGCATCTTCAGTCTGGGACCCATTTACCCAGAAGAGCATTGACAGGTTGGAGGCGGTCCAGCGACGAGCAGCACGCTTTGTCCTAAACCGCTACAGGAATACCTCAAGTGTTGGCAGCATGCTAGAAACACTAGGCTGGTCACCATTGGAGAAACGACGACGACAATCCAGGCTCTCCATGATGTACAAGATAAATAATGGGCTGGTCCACTGTTCCAGTATTAAACAGAAACTCGTACCTCTCCCCCATAGACAGCGACGAGGCCATGACAGGCAATTCAGGCTCATACCAGCAAGAAGCCAGTATAGGAGCTGCTCATTCCTGCCCAAGACAATCAGGGACTGGAACAATCTTTCAAAAGGAACGGTTGAGGCGACAACACTAGACACATTTGTGTCTATTGCCTCAAGCCTTCAAACCCCCAGTGCATGATTCCCTCACAAAGTGGCACTGGAAATCTGTGAAATTTCCTCATCAACACCAGGAACAGAAACATTGCAAATCCCATCTACATGCATAGGAGCCAAAATGATCAATAAATTGATCGTGGGCCCTTAAGATATAGAAGAAGATACAAAGCTATACTAGTTTTGTTTTGAAAAAGATCAGTCTGATTAGCTTGAGGTTATGGTAACTTAACTGGGCCAGCAGTCAAGATGGGAAATGGATTTCAGATCTGTGAAACACGTCAATCGCTGAAACTGAAAGATGGGGGTGTCATTCTACTCTTCAGAAAAGTTCAGTGCTGTTTGTTGCCCACCCCTGCCCCAAAGTGTTCTCTACAGATGCGTTTTTTTTGTTGAATTATCCTCTGTATGGAAAGTGTTGGTAAATGCTGGTCATCTTTAATTTAACTGAAGTTATTTGGTTCTTGAGTCAGAAGGTCTCTTTAAAAACTCATTTCCTTATCATTTGCAGTCATTTGTCCGGACTATTTAGGAGTCGAACATTTTTCACTATTGGCAGGCTTAAATCTTAGGAGCTTGAGCTGTTTTTAAGGGTTTTAAAATGTAATGTATGACAAAGCTCTTGTTGAATTGCAGCGTTATGTTATATTTTTGTATGGCATCCTTCCGTCTTCCCGGGACGATGGAGTAGCTATGTTGTCCTACACTTCAACGAGTGGCTCACTAGGCCAATTGTAGTATGACAATCTCGACTGCATTTCTCGCATGAGAATATTGCTTCCTGGTAAGATCTTGACTTCTGTATTGTTCTTTTTCTTGCAATTGCAAGTTGCAAGGGCCTCGTTAAGCGAATCTTCTGCCTTTTTTACTCCTTCATACACTGCTGTTCGCCAGCTGGTGCGTTGTTCGGCAATGAGCTCCCATTCTTTGTGTTCAATACCGGTATTGGCTTCCGTCATACTCCTTTTGCAAATTTCCATAAGTCTCAGGCGTGGCTGTACAATAAGTCTTGTCCCTTCTGCCAACTCTCCACACAACAGCATCATTGGGATTGGCCCTTCCTCCATTCTCTTTACGTGGCCTAACCAGCGAAGGCGCCTCTTGCTCATTGTTAATAGAGTAGAATAAGCTAAAGAGGTTTCCGCTCCTGACTGGTATATGCGGTCCTCTTCGCTACCATATGAGAGTGTATAGGTACTAAACACACATGCTTGATAGTGATAGACTCTTTATTTTTGTTTTATTAGTTAGATTTAGATTGAGATTATTCTACTATCTACACCCGCTTATTTAGTTTAGCCATATTTGCAGCTGCTTTTGCGATCCTGATATTTATCTCTTGATCGAGGGAGAGGAGAGAGAACTAGAAATATTGGATCCTAGATATGTGAAATGCTCAAAAGATGGTGAAAGATTCTGACCCTCAATAGACATGATTTGAGGGATCGGTGCTTCTTGAATCATTACATTTACATGTGTTTTCTGTAGACTAATCGAAAGTCCAAACTCTTTACAAGCGTGTGATAGACGATTAACCAACCCCTGAAGTTTTTTCTGAGTGAGATGTTAAGACCGCATTGTCGGCAAACAGCAGTTCACAAATCAGCACCTTTATTTTTTGCTTTGGTCTTTGCGCGAAGGTGGGCGATATTGAACAGCCTACCATCAGATCTGGTATGAACGTACACACCATCTTCACAGTCCCTGGAGGCAAATTGAAGGAGCAGAGTTATAGTTCTATCACTTAACACTTAATGGCATTTGTAGTGTTAGTATTTTTTATGAACAGGTATTTGAGGTATCTGCTTCTTCATGGTAAATGCTCAAACTGTTATTGTTTGAACTGAAAGTACCTGTTCATAAAAATAAATGTCTGCAGATGGCATAATAATATTATTATACTATACCGGTATCGGGGTACATTATTTTCCCCAGGAATCATAAATACCCGTACCGGTACTGTAATTAGCTGTAGCCTACCAATGTAGCCACAATGTTTGGACTTACCAGCCCATCTGTACTGCTGGTACTGAAGTTACTGTACCGGTAGTTACCATACTTGACAAAACATGCATTTACATAACACTGAATACACTTGACCTTACTAAGAATCCCATTTAGTGCCAAGTGCACTTGGAGTTGCAGTAATTAAAGAATCTCATTTAGAGGGAATTCTGAAAGTAGAGTACGGTACCTGTATAAGTTATAAGTCATTGATTATGAAGTTAACCAGACCTGAGATTTAGAGAAAAAGAATTTTAAGCCCAAACTCATGTTATTTACATTTGTTAATTGATACTGGTACAAGAGTACAAGTACAGTTAAATATATATACCGTATTGAGTAAATAGTTAAAATAGTCAAATTTCACCTGTAGTGATCTCCCTCATTAATTTTTAGTACCGGTACCTTCTTCTTGGTGTTTTAGGTTTAAGTTTAACTTATTATGATTATCTAATACTAATACAGCAGCCATAGAGTACGTCTGCAATTTACAATTGTACACAGAGAGCCTAAAGCAACTTACCTGTACAGGTACCGAATAAAAAATGCTGCTTTGGGGATGTCAGTCAAGATCATTTACACTGACCCTTGTCCACAGTTGTCAGTTTTTGAAATAACTCCTCCCCTCTCTTTGTGGTTGTTCTTTATGATTTCAATTTCAAAACAATATGTGGGGAAACAAATTTCAGATCTGTGAAATTTTAAACAGAGAGCTCTGTATGAAAATGACATTGCGGGTGACATCTACTGTTTAGAAAACTGTTTTTTTACCATACCGGTACTCATTTTATTAATTTAACATGATCATATTATATTCATAATCATGACAGAGACTGAATAAGAAAAGGGGGAAGTGCTGAAACTATAATTTATAATTGAATTAATTGCTAAACTATTTTAGGTTTGTTGAGGTGCCCTTAAAGTTAAAGTAAGTTCAAGAGTTGAAAAGAGAATGGTTTAAATTGAAAACAGCTGAACGGATGGGTTAAATTGAAATCCACTGAACTGTTGGAATGAATCTACTGGCCGTTTCCAAATCTGTCAGTGCTAGGTAATTGATATATTGTTGTCTGCCCTCCACGACAGTAAATTCTCAAGTTAAGCAAGAAGATGTGCAAGAATGGAAATCACCCACTCCGATTGATTGGACTTCTCTTAGGCTGGAGCAAAAAGAATATGAAAATCGAAGGTTTGAAGGTAATGTAATAATCTAATGAAAGTTACGTGATATTTTCTATCGTGATTACTATGTGTGGTATCATTTAAGAACGGGTATTTATAAATTAAATTATGATTTATTATAAACTTAAATTTAACTGAAAATATAATACTTCAAAACCAATGTTGGAGAAAATAGCAGTGTTACACTCAAAGGAGAAAGAATATATATTTCCATGTCTTAATAATGCTCATGGACAAAAACCAGTTTCGCAGAGGAAGGCTGAAGGCATTGGTAGAAGAACATCCAAAGCAAGTTCAGGATATTCTGTTAGACATGATGCAAAAAAAGATGCTACTGATGTCATATTGGTGAATACCGGTACCATATCAATCCTTTGTCATTGTCAGCAATTACATCCAAAAACTTATCATGCAAAGGTACCAGTACTAAAAAATCAGCCTTTTCATACAACAGAAGAATTTCGGATCCATCCAGTTCCTATCTCTGGATCATCAGGGAAAGTAAAGCTCAAAATGTGCCATCAAGCCCTTTCCCTGCATCAATGAAAATGTTGCTGCTAAGTTGTTATACCGGTACCATATAAATACCCGGTATAAAAACAATTTTTTGACACCCAACTCTTCCATTCCCCTAGCTTTTGTGTTTGACCATTGGTCTTTTCAGCCAATATAAATTATAAAGCATGAAGCTATATTTCCTTGCATGTATGTAAGCTGGCAAATGTATCTGCCAAGTAATCCAACTTGGCTATTCAAGCCACATTTCCAAATACCTGTAGTCCTGACCAATGTCTTTCATTTTCTGTAATTTTGGTAAGCTCCCTTGGCAATTCAAAAACTCTTGATAGAGTACAGCTCAGGGGCAGATGCTTGTCCAATACCACAATTTGGGGAACATTGATCTAAAGTTCAAATATAATTTTTTTATGTGGTTTGTGGGAACTGTTTTGAAATCAAGAAGGGTTGCGGAGCTTCAGATATGTCAACAATGCCTGAGACATGAGATACATCACTGTTGCATAATGAAGTTCAACAAAAAAAAAAGTTTGCTCTGTATGCTTCACTTTTTGAAAATGTCTTCCCAGGCAAATAGGTCCTGCCAATGATTGAAATGAATTCAGGAACAATTCCTGGGAGCCACTTCAAAATGTTCAATCAGTTACATTTTTTATAATTGGATTTCAGCAAATCAATGAATTGTAGATCCATTGCTTCCATTTAGAGTTCAGCTGGCAGCTCATCAAAAACACATTATAACTGGTTTTGGGAGATTTTTAATTTTTGTTGACTGGCATCCACTAACTGCGATAACTTGCATTGAATTGGACCAGTTTCTTTTTCACAGCATTGTAACTGAGAAAAGGAATTTTTTACTAACAAGGATTCGAGAAATAAAAAGATTTTGCAGAAATGCCTTCACATCCATGTACTTAATACTACTATTGTTGAAGGGCTTGGTTTGTCTTGCACTCTTGAGATTAAATTAGTTTAGTCTTTGGTCAGATTTGCAGAAAAAACTTTCTTAAAATCATTTGTTATTGTAAGAAACAAAAAGGTCTGTTATTGTCATTCAAATCTCAGCTCTTAGGTTAAAAATTTGGGTCACAACTGAGCCACTTGACAGACATGTAACTGGAGATATTCCACTTTTATTTTTATTAAAAATTTGTGGCTCTAACGATTTTTGAGGCCAAGTTCGCTAATATTCAACTAATAAAATCTTAAGTTCCATGATATTTTCCTCACAATGCTTGTTAATGAATAATTTGAACAATGCAGTGCAGATAAATTGGCTTGGAATAACAACACCTAATTTATACCAGTACAGCATTGTAAAGTTTCCCAACTTTAAAGTATTTTTAAAAATACCTTAAATGTACTTCATTGTTTATATTTTTAAAGAGCCTTTAACTTGAATTAAGTGGCTGCCATATTTATATTTTCTTTAAGAGAGTTGAAATGTACTACAGTATTTTTAATGTTAGGAAAAATACTTCATTTACCGGTACCTGTACTAAAACTAGCTTTAGTGAAAAGTGCTTCATTATTATTTTTTAATTAAGAACGATTCTTGTATCAACAAATGAATAAGTTTCAATATAATTATCAACTTTAAAGTTCTGGTACCGGTACTGAATTATGGAAGCAGCAAAGATCTTTAATTTAATACCTGCAGGTTTTTGACATTTAAAGAAAGCAGGCAACTCTTATTATGATACAAAGACTTCTTTGTCTATTTTCCTACTCTACCTAAATATGGAGACAACATTTAGTGTTATTTGACAAATAGGATCTGTATTTTTTTTATCCATTTAAATTCCATGAATATTTGTTTAACCATATCTTTAATTTAAAAAGTGAGCTTTTTTTAAATATTTGATTTGTTAGGCTTGCCACCAATTGTGAAGAATTTCTACCAAGAAGTTTCAGAGGTGGCCGAAATGTCTCACGAAGAAGTCAAACGGATAAGGTTAGTTTCATCAAGCTCAACTATTACTATAATTATAATATAAATACACTGTGGCAATATACATTTATTTTTGTCCAGGATTGCATTGTGAAAAAAAAGTTCTACTCCCTTCAGCTCACATTAAAATCAGGGGCTTTGTAAAAAAAACAACATATGGCTAAAATAAACATTTTTGTAGACTGCCTTTACATCAATTTAGGGGATAGTCTGGAGAAGTGGGGCAACAAATGAACATCAGTCGAAGTATGCAGCTGGTTCTGGTATTAACTAATAGAAAGTTATAACAATAAAATTTGGCTTACCCGATATTAATATTACGTTTACTTGTGTATAATTATTATTAAAGCGTAACTTATATTGTTATATTGGCACTTGTGCGTGTCTTATTACCCGGTATTAATAGCCAGTCCAAATGTGCACTTATAAACTTAATTTGAAATTACATAAATTTGATAGTTTTTTTAAAATTCAAAAGAAACTGATGACTATGTAGGTCATGGAGAAATGGACATAGCGTGAGGAGAAATGGACCCCCATGTGGGGAGAAATGGTCAGTTAACTAAAATCGTGGTTAAAACAAATTAATATCTTTACCTATTTTCTATTAATTTTCTCTCTGTTGTGTTGTAATGCACCATACAATTAGCAATTTAATTAAAAAGATAATAAGCAAAATCATTTTACATTTTATGTATACCGGGTATTTATCGAACACAATGATAAAAAAATGTAATTTGAGCAAAACACACAGATATATTTAAAATTTAAAGAACTCGGGTTTTATTTTCCCAGTCTTTTGTAAGTTTGCATTTTATGTCTTTAATAATAGGCACACAGGCAATGTCTTCTACATGTGGTCTTATAAATTTGCCAGTCACTTTCTCACTTTTTATTAAACATTCTACTTCCACATCCCCATTTTCATCCACTACCTTCCTCACAACCGCCACATAAAACAACACAGGCTTTTTTACACTGTACTCACACAGCACGCAATCATCTTTCATAACTTCTTCAACACCATTCATTTCAACATAATTAGTTGTCAAGTCTTCACAGTCAGAAATGGTCATCTAAATCATCATTGCTTATCAGGTCAATGTCCATGTCGAAGTCACTATCCTCACATTCAAATAATTTATTTCCTGTTATTTTAAGGGACTTTACACCTTTTTGTCTTGAGCTTATCTTGCAATGGTTTAAATTCATGCGATGATGTGGCAATCAATGATTGTCTTTTCTTTCTAGTATTATTTTTAATGGGTCCTGCTTTAGGATAGCCTAAAAAAATCTGAGGTGACCTAAACACTGATGGGTTTGGGTGTTAAGACTGGTGTAGTTGAAAGGGAGAAGATGATGTAGCTGGGCTATCAAAAGAAGACACAGAGAGTACAGCTTTTCAGCTGGATCTGGTCTGTCTCTTATTATAAGTTAAAGCGCAAGGCATAAAGTCTATATCTGTGTAAATGTCTTTATTAAGAGACCAAATTTCGATGGCTTGGAAATCAGACAATATATTTGATGAAGGCCCCATCCAACACCAAGTTCAGCAATTTGGTAAATTGTGATTGGTTTGCCTATGTTCCTAAGCATCCTCAAATCAGCTGGAGTATTGAATGCACTTTTCAATGGTCCAAAATCTGATCTGACTAGGGGCTGTTTTATTTAAGGTGTGTGGCGACAATGTAACAATATGAATAAAGTTATTTTAAGCAAGTAACAATGCCTCATAGGATAGGTAGCTTTCTTGATTGTCCATGATTAACATACCAGGATATGTTGATGAAGACGAACATGCTTAATAAAATGTTTCAACACTAAAATGAAACTATCAGATGTCATCCATCCAGATGAACTTTAAGTTCAATTGTGCCTTCTGGTGCTCCTTAAAGAAAGCAGTCTCTAAATTTCTTCCTTGGAAAAACGAAGACAGGAGGTAAGAACTGACCTGATGCACAAACTATGGCACATAAGGTCACTAACTCACCTCTCTCTCTAGAAGCCACTTTTCCAACCTGTTTCAAGCCTTTAGGGGCTCTTTATACAGTAGTTAAACCTGTCTCATCTAAATTGTAAATTTGTCCACCACACAAATTATTAACAAAAATGGCTGCTTCTAAATTTTAAAAAATATCTCAATGTTGTGTGGGTTAAAGGCAGTGGCTCTTGCCAGTGAAGTTTACTCCGTTTGGCGCAGTGATAATTGAGGATGCCTCTGTCTAAAGCCATAAAGCCAATCTTTACCAGCAGCTTTCTTATTATGCCATGATTCAGGTACTTTTATTTTGTTAACTACGGTCATCTCATAGGCTAATAATATCACACTGGCTAATGTCAGCCCATGAAACATTTTTGAACATGCTTCCAGCATGTTTGTAATTTGGTTGTAATTGGTCTGTAGAGACAAATTTTTAGATTGTTATTCTAAGTTGTGCGTGATATTCCAAATTGTAAAGCAGCTGCGTGTATTGACTTTCCCACTTTAATGGCATCATCTACATTTCTCATAACTACCAGGGGTATTCCACCCTTATCTTTTTTCTTGGGTAGTTTCTAGGCATGATTCTGCAAGAAAATAAGAAAATAAAAAGGGAAACTTTAATTCTCTTCCCATGGGAAATTAAAAATGTTTTTTTAAACAAAAGCTTTAAAACTTTAGATGGTTTTATTTCTACATACTTACTTACATATCATTTAGCAAAATATTTTCTAAAATTACCTTTTGCCACAATAACTCATGACTGATAATTCAAAAGCTTTTAAAGTTAATACAACTATCAATGTGCCCAATATATTAATGCTTTTAAATACTTAAAGATTATGCAGTAATGAAGCATAAAGAAAGTTAACAGTGGCCATGTTTCACCACACTAGGGGGTTGATGCAGAATTTTTTTTTTTTTTTTAAAGTTTGTGATGTAAATAATCAAATTTAATATGAAATACTATAACTAACTAAATATGATACATTACAGTATACTTACCTTTATTTCTGATGAACCAGTTAAATTTCTAGATGCTTTTATGAAGTTTGTTCAAAACATTTTTGATGCCAAAATTTTACACATGATTCATTTTTAACCATCTAACCTGGAAATTCTTAGAAAACACAAAAAGGAAGTAATTTGTGCATTCATTTAGTCCCAAAACATTTTGGTCCAATATATTCGATTTTTATAGTGGGTTTTCCATTTCTCCTGACTCTCCCCTACTATTGGAGAAAGGCCTTGCACTCTGAGATTCTCCTATAAAAAACACATGAATATTGAATTTTGTAAACTAAACATTTTGTTCCCCCATAGTATCCTGGTCCCTGATGGGATCCCGCTTGGTTTCCAGATTCCCCATTCCCTGGTGGATCCCATTCCCAGGTTGGATCCCAATCATTGGGATCATGTTACCTGGTGGGTCCTGTTCCATAGTGGGATAATGTTCCCTGGGGGATCCCATTCCATAAGGTACAATTAAAGGAATCCTTCACATAGAGGGCCAACTTTGGCCAAGATCTATCAGTACACATAAATGGTATACTGTATTGTAAGCCTTCAACTTCATTTATGTATCTATAGCTTAGGCCATTTAACGAGGATAAAATTGGAACTTTCTAGAAAATATCTTAACATACCGGTATGAGGAAACTATTGAAAATTATGGAAAAATAAGAAAATGTATATAATGCTAAGTCAGTTAAAGAAAAATATAGAACCACAAAATAATATAAAAACTTTAAGAAACATAAAAAGGTAATTCACTGATATCAAGAAAATTCCGAGGAAGGTACAGAAATCTGAAGAATTGGACTAAAATTTGCATAAGCTTTTAGAGTTCCCACTAAGTATCCCCAGAACAATGTAGTACTCCTGGAAAATTCTATATGTTATTTACAAAACATCCCCCCCCCCCCCGGTAATGGAAAAAAGGAATGAGTTTTCAACTTAATCATTTTACATATATGAAAAAATCTACAACAAAATGCCATCATGACATTTATTTGATCTTAAAACCATCTATAAGTATAAGGGAAAACAAAATTGGGTCCCCCAGTCCAGATGGAGTGGTTATTATGAGTTCAGTACCCACCAGTATTTGAAAATGTATGTGTTCTAAGTTTGATCTAGATCCATCCTCCCATACATTATCTATGTTTGAATTTAAATTTATAAGTGCATCTAAGAAAAATAAAAAAATGGAAAATTTTGTAAATTTCAAAATCCTCCTTGTAGTTCAGTCTGGATAATGATGGATATGTATGCCAAGTTTGGTCAAAATACATTAATCCATTTAGATGTTCTGTTTCTATAACTATAAGTCTCAGTGATTTTCCTCATGTTTCGAAATCTGATTTTAAGTTCCAAATGAGTTTCTACAATGTTTTTTTCCTTAGGATAGCCAAAGAAATATACACGAAGACTTAAGATACAATGACAGCATCTATTTAAATTGTTATAACTAGGTTAAACTTGGTTTGTTTGTTATAACCTAAAGTTTACTCACTGCTGTAAAATGTAAAAAAAAAATAATTTAATTTTTCTCATATGGGCTATATAAATAATATTCCACTTAATGGAAAGATCTATATGAAACTTGGTACAAATGCACTTGAAAATATAGTGAAAAAACTGTAGGATTTTAAACTCATAATATTCACTGTCTTGGCCAGGGATACAGATTTCATTTTCTTATTTACGCTATAACCTATACATTTTTCACCCGATCTTAGTGGGACAGTATTCTAACTTGTCTATTTATCTTATGAATTATTTGAGGTCCCTAACTTGGTGATAATTAAAATATATCAATATAGAATGGGTTCCCACTGCGGTCCTTATTTTTAATTTTTAAGTAAAACTATTGAACGACATTTTGTTTTAGTCTTAGTCTTGAAATAATGACTAGAAAGAGTCATTATTTACAAATTATTGGAAGGTTTTAAAAAAGTTATTGAATTTTCTAGGATGTTCTATATTGTTCCACATAGGTATAAAGGTTATGAAAATGTCAATGGGATCTAAAAGTTTATGGAAATTTTAGTTTTATAGATTTCTATACTTATCGGGGAATTTCCCCAGTATCAGTGAATACAAATTTTAAGTTGCTTGAAGCTTCTTTTTCTAGAAAAATCAATTTTTTAATAAGAGTTTTGAGATGAAATAAAATGTTTATGTTTTAATAAGTAACTGTTAAATTTTATGAAATCAGATTTAAAGATAATTTTGAAGTTTCTAGAAAGCTCCACATGAGTGGAGGAGGTTTTAAAATGTATTGTCCAAAGCTAGATTCTACATAAATTGTTGCATCTAGGCCAAACTTGGAAAACGTCCATTTCATAATCCCTTTACAACAACTGGGGTTTTAAAACTAATAATATCCCCATCTTTTTGTGCATGGGGTGCCCAATTTTAATGGGACAATTTAAACAAATAAAATTTGTTTATTTTCCGACCTAAAATACTTACTTCTGTAAAAAATTAAAGCTTAAGTTCTTTTGGCGTCGGTGGGCCCCAGCAGTAAAAGTTTGAAAGTCAAAATCTTTGCAAATTCCTTCTATTTTAAATGCGATACATATGAAAAATATTGATTTGAATTATTATCTGAATTATTTGTATAGCGCCACGATCTTAAGGATAACTAATATTGTCCCTTTTGAATGATGATTCTATTTCATTTCAATTTTTAAACAGCCATATCTTTGGCATTGGTGATTACCATTTTTTTAATAAGACATATTTTAATAGTAAGATTTCCTCTTTAAATCCAGCTTGAAATTTAACTGAAAGGGGCTGGGCCCCAAATTCAATGTTTACAAAATTTATTATAGATCTGTCTTTTATAGAAGAAATATATATATATTTACTTTAGTGAATTTTTTTGAATATTTGTTGGCTTATAGCGGATCATGGAATTTTTTCCGAATATAAACCTGAGCAGAGCCGGGTAGCCTATATTTGTTATGCATATCGGTACCAGTACCAGAAATAATATAAGCATCATATCTTGTCTGTTCACAAGCATTGTTGAAATTTCTTAGATTATCTGAATTCATCACTGAAAAAATATTGTTCAAGCCTTTTAAATGTTTTCACTGCCAGCAAGTTAAGTTGAACTAATTATTGAGCTTTTGTTACGCAATTGTGGGACATATTTTACCAGCACAAACTTTTTATCTATGTACTCTAAAGCCAGTCAAAATGACAAATATAATATTTTTATTACAACACATAGTATTTTTTGCTTTATTTTTATTTCAATTATATTTAAGGAGTATCATACTCCTTTAATTTTATTTAATAATTTTGAAGAAAAATAAAAAGCTTTGATTGAGATCACACCAGGTCTCAATTATGTGGCAGGCACAATCAGAAGACATTATACTTTGTATGGTGTCTCATGATAAAGGGAACCAAACATAAATTTTAGAATTATTTACTAGCAGACAAATGCACACTTGATTTATTCCCATATATAACTTACACAGCCTGAGTAGCCACTAATAAGAAGTAGATATTCAATTTTTATTTTTTAAAATTTGAAGCTGGTAAGTTTTCTTCTCAGGTCTCATTTCTGTTCCAAGTGGAGCTAAATTGTTAGATAGTACTGTTTTTTTTTTTTAGATTTATAAAACATTTTAAGACCATTGGTTTCAACTATTTATTATTTTTTCTGGTATTGTTTTTACAATGTGAAGATTTAAAAAAAAAATTCTTTTTTTTTAAAATTTGAAGTTGGTAAGTTTTCTTTTCAGGTTTTATTTCTGTTTCAAGTTGAGCTAAATTGTTAGATAGTACTGTTTTTTTTTTTTAGATTTATAAAACATTTTAAGACCATTGGTTTCAACTATTTATTATTTATTCTGGTATTGTTTTTACAATGTGAAGATTTAAAAAAAAAATTCTTTTATCCCATTTAGTATCTAAATAATCTAATCAATAATGTCAAGTTTTTTAGGAAACCTAATATATTAAATTCACAATAAGGCTTTTAAAGAAAGAAAAAAATTATTTGAATTAAAACTTTTCACTCTCATTGCAATTTCACAATAGGAAAGAGAAAAACAACATTATTGTTGATGCTCCAGAGGATGGAAGTGTTCCTAATCCAATCCGAACATTTGAAGATGCATTCTATAATTACCGTAAGATTATAAATTACAAAAATATATAAATCTTCTTTTAGATATTTTAATTTTTCTAATTGTTTGGAAATTTAACAAATTATATGCAGCAAGATGATAAAATTGATGTGTAAACTTTTGAATAATTTCTATTCAAACTTATAAACATGATTGAGATGACACTTGACAACTATGAGAGCTTGTCTCAGAGTCACTAGATCTCAATTTGAGTTAACAGTTTTTAACATATGATAAATAAAATATTTTCATCATCATGGCACTAGTCTAGACTCTTGAATGCTTGGAATACTGTTAACTCTAGTAATGGAAGTCATGCTGGATATCATTTTAAATTTAATTTATGGTTTACTTATTACTTTTATAGCATTGGAATTTTATGCTGTATGTTTGCTGTTAAACATAAAATGTACTCCTTATTGTAGCTCTCATTCTTGAAGAAGTATACAAACAAAACTTTGTGACCCCTTCTCCTATTCAGGTATGCTGTTCTACAACTGTGATGAATTTTAATGTATAAAAAAAAAATAAAATGAAGAATTTTATTTATTAAAATGATTCAGCTTTTTTTAATCGCTATGATTGAAAAATTATTTTTAAAAAACAACACAATTTGCTGAAATGGCTCAAACCAACAATTACTTAAAGAAGTTAAATTAGACAGAAGGGCACAGCCCACGTTGCTGCTGGGTCAGGATGATGATGAGGTTAAAGTAATTTGTACAGCAGTATTATTTTAATTGAATTTTTATGATTTTATTATTTGACATTGTTTTACATTCTACTTTAAGTTTAAGCCAATAAAATGGCTGCCTCTTTGTATTTTAGCAGTGATTCCCACATTCCAAAAGTGTATCAAACTATATCTGATACTTTAAAAAAAAATTAATTATTCCAATAATAATTTTCAGTGCCAAGCATGGCCCATCCTTTTGCAAGGAAAGGATCTCATTGGTATAGCACAGGTTTGTTCTATAATTTCTTTATAAGCTGTACAGAGTTCAATTATCTTTTAATTGTGTTGGGATCAAAGCTTTTAAATGAGTGTCTATACATTATTTAGGAAACACATTGTAAGGAAAGAAAATATGAAAAACACAAGAGCGTGTAGTAATAGCATAGAAAATAAAACCAGTTTGCTAATTTTATTGAGCTTGAAGATTAATTAATTAGCCATGATATCCAAAATTTTCACTACAGCTTTCATTTCAAGTTGAGATTTCAGGGAAAAATAAAAAAAATTGTAATAAAATTAGGATGATTTTACAACCAACATTGTGGCTTATTAATTAATTTATCTATTAACATTTACAGACTGGAACTGGAAAGACTTTGGCTTTTCTTCTGCCTGCTTTGATTCATATTCAAAAACAACCAATGTAAGTTAATGCTGTGCTTTAAAAACACTTGATTTTGTAAATCAGACCAAATACAAAAAAAGCATGCAATATTTTTTTATATAATCATGGAAAAATATTGTACAGTTAACATGTAGGTAACAAAATCCATTTAATAATAATAAGAAGAAATTCTTAGCTTGCGTCATGTTTTTTAAAAGTTATAAGTTAAGTAATTTAATGGCCAGATCCACTCATTTGCTGTTTCAGCCCCATGAAAGACCGTGTAGGACCTACAGCTTTGATTCTGTCTCCTACAAGAGAGCTGGCGCAACAGATTGAAATGGAAATTAATAAGATCAATTACATGGGTATCCGCAGGTGAAACTTATTATTTTAAAAATGAGCCTGTTGTCATTATTAGTTTATTAACTGAGCAAATCGCTTTTCCCTATGCATAAGATGTACTGGTACTAAATAATTTTGTGACATGCTATATTGCACTGAGCAGCAATTGATTTTGAAAAATGTCTGATTGATTTACAATAAACTTGATGTGCATTTATTCTGGCCTAAGCAAACAAAGGAAAGATTTTCTCCATGATTTTATTTTTACACTACCAATTTTTAAAATCCTACAGTATATGTGTGTACGGTGGAGGCAACCGGAGGGAGCAATTGCAGCGAGTTAAGAAAGGGATTGAAATAGTAGTGGCAACACCAGGCCGTCTAAATGATTTCATGAACAACAGCATCATTGATGTGAAGCATGTCACTTATCTGGTTGGTTCTTTTTGTGTTTGAGATTATACAAGCAGAAACTAAATTTTATAGACATTCTAGCAAATCTCTTAAACAACCAAACGCAGCCTATTGTATCAAAGTTTCTTAGACTCTTTTGTTCTAATGTTTGTTCTTTTGGTAATGTGTTGCTATATTCCTAGGTGATGGATGAAGCTGACAGGATGTTGGATCTAGGTTTTGAGCTGGAAATTAAGAAAGTTATGCTGGATATCAGACCTGATAGGCAAACAGTTATGACAAGGTGAAAAAAAAGTTTTCACTTGTTTCTAAATCTTTTTTATAGCAACTTATATTAAAACTGTAACACATCTACTCTGACATGGCGTGGGAGCTTATTTCTTATGCTGTGGGTTATGTCAGTAGTATGGTTACTTATGTTATGTTGATATTTCAGGATGCCGACTAAGGCTTCTTCATTCTTCCACTTATAATCCGGGCACGCAAATAAGAATACTGAATCCTGGTTAAACTTACAGTACTTTATTGAACACACTTTATATTGATAATATTAATAAATAATCCTTGCATGAATGTAATTTCACATATATATATCTATAGTATTCCATCATTAAGAAAGACACGTCCTCACACTAAACTGTCAACTGTCTAATCACACAGCTCTCACGCTACTGACTCTACTGCTCTGCGCTCAGCTCTCTACTAT